GGCCCTCTCTGGAAGGAAACAGGAGGCCTGGATACCCGAGATATGAAGAAGACTGAGGTATTCAATGACTTTTTTCCCTCATTCTTCACTGGCAAGAGCTCCAGCTGCACAGCCCAAGTCACAGAAGTCAAAGGCAGGGACTGGGAGAATGAAGAACCACCCACTGTAGGAGAAGATCAAGTTATAGAGCCTCTAAGGAACCTTAGAGGTTTTGTAAACTTGTAGAAGTTTTGTAGACTTGTAGAAGTTTTACAAGTCCATAGGACCTGATGATCTGCATCCACGGGTCCTGAGGGAACTGGAGGCTGAAGTTGCTAAACCATTATCCATCATATCTGAGAAGTCATGGCAGTCTGGTGAAATACCTCTGACTGGAAAAAGGAAAACATAACCCCCATTTTTAAAAAGGAAAAAAAGGAAGACCCGGGGAACTACAGGCCAGTCAGTCTCACTTCTGTACCCGGCAAGATCACAGAGCCGATCCTCCTGGCAACTATGCTAAGGCCCATGGGAAAAAAAGGTGATTAGTGACAGCCAACATGACTTCACTAAGGGCAAATCGTGCCTGACAAATTCGGTAGCCTTCTACAACAGACTTTTACAGTGTTGGTAGATAAGGGAAGAGCAACTGATGTCATATATGTGGACTTGACCAAAGCATGTGACACTGTCCTGCACAACATCCTTTTCTCTAAACTGGAGAGACAGGATTTGACCACTCATGGATAAGGAATTGGCTGGATGGTCGCACTCAAAGGGTTGTGGTCAATGGCTTGATTTCCAAGTGGAGACCAGTGATGAGTGGTGTTTCTCAGGGGTCGGTATTGGAACCAATGCCGTTTAACGTCTTTGTTGGTGACATGGACAGTGGTATTGAGTGCACCCTCAGAAAGTTTTCAGACGACACCAACTGTGTGGTGTGGTGGACACGCTGGAGGGAAGGGATCCATCAAGAGAGACCTTGACAGGCTTGAGAGGATGTACCTGTGCGCACCTCATGAAGTTCAACAAGGCCAAGTGCAAGGTCCTGAACATGCATCAGGGCAATCCCAAGCACAAGTACAGGCTGGGTGAAGAATCGATTGAGAGCAGCCCTGAGGAGAAGGACTTGAGGGCGTTAGTTAACGAAAAGCTCAACATGACCCAGGAACGTGCACTTGCAGCCCAGAAAGCCAACCATATCCTGGGTTGTATTCAAAGCAGCGTGGCCAGCATGCCAAGGGAGGTGATTCTGCCCCTCTACTCTCCTCTTATGAGACCTCGCCTGGAGTACTGCCTTCAGCTCTAAGGCCTCCAACCTAAGAAGGACATGGACTTGTTGGAGCATGTCCAGAGGAGGGCCGCTAAGATGATGAAAGGTTTGAAGCACCTCTCCTATGAAGACAGGCTGAGAGAGTTGGTATTATTCAGCCTGGAGAAGACGAGGCTCCAAGAAGACCTTCTAGCAGCCTTCCAGTACTTAAAGTGGCCCTAGAAGAAAGCTGGAGAGTGATTTTTCACAAGAGTGTGTAGTGATAGGACAAGGGGAAATGGCTTTAAATTGAAAGAAGGTAGATTTGGATTAGATATAAGAAAGAAACTCTTCATCCTGAGGGTGAGGAGGCACTGGAACAGATTGCCCAGAGAAGTTGTGGCTGCCCCATCCCTGGGGAAGTGTTCAAGGCCAGGTTGGATGGGGCTTTGAGCAACCTGATCTAGGGGAAGGTGTTCCTGCCCTATCAACTAGATAATCTCTAAGATCCCTTCCAAACCAAACCATTCTATGATTCTGTATTTCAACAACTAAAACTGAACGTATGAAACTAGCCATGGATGAGACCATTTTTTTGAATAGTGTTTAACCATTTTCAATTAAAAATAATAAAGTCCTGAAAATAAAAGATATTTGAAATAAAAAAATTACCTTCTCAATGAGCTCAATGCAGGCAGCCAGGTCCATCCCAAAGTCAATGAATGTCCATTCAATTCCTTCCTTCTTGTACTCCTCTTGCTCCAGCACGAACATGTGGTGGTTAAAGAACTGTTGCAGTTTCTCATTGGTGAAGTTGATGCACAGCTGCTCCAGGCTGTTGAACTTCCCAGTGGAAAATAAAAAACAAAAACCACCATGAACTGTCAACATGCAGAGTTCTTGTTCAGTTTCAATCCTTTATAAATCTCTCCAGTTAAAACACAACTTTATTATCAGGACAGCACCATAGGACCTACATGCAACTCCCCCCAAAAATACCTACAAAATGAAAATGGAAATTTTTCCAGAGCAGATATTCCTAGTGAATCTCCTACACTTTATAAAGTACTTAAGCATTTTTTGTTCAGTCAAAAATACGAGTGTATGCCCTGGTCTCCAATTTTTAATCATTTGATATCTCTGATTAAACAGTTATTTATTCATGCCTTGGTCCTTTAAACAGTTTACACATCTTCAACCTCTTACGTATTTGTCCAGGGGTCTCCAAATCCTAGTTCTGCTCTAGAAGTGCTTATATAAAATTATTGTAATTATTTTTTTGAATTATTAACATTAATCTCAAACTGTTAAAATATTACAACATTTAAAAATATTTACTACTTCTACACAAAAAACATATCTCTGTTCTTATACTGATGAAGGATTCTGAGGATTTTGCTCTGTGCTACGAAAGAAAACGAAGGGTTTTTTTCCATAAAATTGTAAATGGCTAGCATCTTAAACTTTCAGAAGAATATTACTTGCAAGTCCTCTGATATACTAATCTGCCCCTGCTAGTGCAGGCCTCAAATCTGGAATCCTTACATCAAAGATCTCGAAGCCAGCAATGTCCAGGACACCAATGAAGTACTGTCTGGGCTGCTTGGTATCCAGCTGTTGGTTGATGCGAACAACCATCCACAGGAACATCTTCTCATAGACAGCTTTTGCCAGGGCACCCACTGAATTGTTCACCTACACCAAAGAAGAATGAAGCAGAAGAAAAACAATATCTGAAGCAAATGATAAGTTATACAAGCCAGAGGTTCCCAGTCGCCAGCTGGTTGTTACCTGCTGCACGGTTTGACCCTTGGTCACGTATTCATTCCCAACTTTGACTCGGGGGTAGCAGAGGGCTTTGAGCAGGTCTGCTGAGTTCAGACCCATCAGGTAGGCGGCCTTGTCAGCAACTAAGTAGAAGGACAAGGAGATAGAAAGATTAAGACTAACAAGTCATGCAACATTTTGAGTGACAAACTCTTTCCAGAGCAACTGCAATATTGAATGTCCTTGTGATCAAATTCTGCTCACTGGATCTCACAGAAAGCACGACAGTGATTGAAACAAAATCATCTTTGTTTTGAAAGCTTTTCAGACAAGTACAACTAAATGCTATTTGTGTCTTTAAAAATCTTCACAGAAGCATCTAGAAACAATGTAGTATTATAAATTCATCCTGAAAGCTCAAGTCAATCACTTCAGTCTAGAGTTAATTGGTATCTATAAGCCAGGCAATAAACTGCCAAAGTGTTACTACGTTGGCAACCTGAGTGTAATCCAGAACATACACTTAGGTACTTGGGCTACCTGTATTCTTCAGCAAGAGGTATAACCCTAAAGAGGAATGCATTCCAAAATTAGAGGTAACAATTCAGAAGTGCCCCTTTCTGGAGAGTTATTGTTATAGTCATAGCAGAAAGGCAGGCATATTCATTCGTTCAGGATCAAAATCTAAAAATTCAGTCCTGAAGCTGGCCATCTGAGAGTGTTCTTTGGAAGAAATAGACAGGTCTTAGTCGTTTTAAACCATGTACGCATTATGTGACATTTAAGTGATTAAGTAGTCATCTGAGAAGTAGAAATCTAAGGCAGTTCTTCCCTAGCATAATGTACCTATGCTTCGCTTCAACTGATGTTCAAATAATACTTCTATGTAGTGACAGTTATGGGCTGAATATCCAAAGGAGAAGAAAGAAATTGAAGGAAAGTTCCCTTTTACCTGGGCAAAATTCCTAAATAACGTGCGATTTATGAAGAAGGAGCTGAATTGAATTTAATGCCTCTATTTTCTTTAAAAAAGTAACCAGAAATATATTTTCTGAAAAATTTTTCACTTCTCAGCGGGTCTCTAATATAAGTACACTGAGCAGGCTGTGATACCCAGAACTGTGATAGTCCAGGAGAGAATTATGGACACATAGGAAACTTATACTTCAAATAAAGATTAGGTAGCAATTGAAAAAAGGGCATATTTTGGATGGCAGTTTCGTACCTTTATACTACTCTACCTAAACACTTTTTTACATATTTCCACGCTTCTCTTTCTCCATCTTCCAAATACGGAATTACTATTGCTACTTCTGTTTCTAACAGGTCAACCACAGACTTTGCAAATACCTTCTGTGCCATCAGGCTCTGCCTGCTCCTCACGTTGCTTCTGCTTGAACTTCAGGTTGCCATAGTGCATGACAGCCCCTGTCAGCTTGTAGATGGCTGTTTTTTCATCAGCAGTGAAGCCCAGGATGTCAATGGCGCTCTGCAATTCAAAGATTAAAATAAAAGCTTTGTCTGGGAGAGATGACAATAGATAAAACTTTTTGAATTGTTACTTACATCTGTAGCCATCAACTCCTCCTGGTCATTGATGCTGGCAACAGTGATTTCACCCTGACTCACAAAGTGATAGTCATATGGGTTGGTGGTAATGAGGAGCATGTCTGAAAGTAAGAAGAGGGGACATGCAGGCTTAGTTTAGTCAAGAAGCTAATAGTGTGAGCCAATGTTCAGCGATCTGCCTCCAAGTTAGTCATCTTCCTACCAATTAGCTCTGGCTTCTTGTTGGACATGATCTGATAGAATATGTGGTAGCTTCTTTCCGCCTTGAGCTGAAAAGTGACTCTGGACTTCTCCAGCAGATCTGGAGGGAAAATTTAGTTAGAAACAGGAAGAAACAGCAAAAACATAAAGTAAGGAGAAGATAGGAAGAAAAACAAGGAAGGCAGGAATAGATGGTTGGGTGAAAAGGTGTTGTATGGATAGAAGGTTGAATGGATGGGTTGTGAACAGTTCAGGAAAGTGTCTTACATGTTTCGATATCAGCAGAAGCTAGTTTTCCTGTGGCACCGAAGTGAATTCTGATGAATTTGCCCTTTAAAGGAATAGAAGTGTCTTAAGATTTAAATCTCAAAAATATGTCTGAAATGGAGAGTTTACTCCATTGGGCACAAGATTTTTACTTAGAGACATTTTCTTAAGAAAAGCTATATTTCCATCATTGGCATAAAGTCATCTTTTAAATTTTTGACTGTGGAAAGAATCAACAGTGGCATAGCTGTGTATTTTATACATGTTGAATGCACAAATGGGAAGGAATGGGTGGATTTCATTAGTCAAACTCTTTTAACTGTATCCTGCATACCGACAGTAGTCGTCTTAATGATTCAAAAATAGCCATTTAACTAGTTGAGCTGCTTAAAATGCTCTTGTTACCAATAAGTCATTTCACCTCTGATTAATTGAATTTGACATAAAGCAAATATACTATTCAAGTATAAACTTTCTCTCCTCACCCCATCTGTTTCTTTCTCTCTCT